AGGTAGTATTTTGTTTTTTGTTTGTATGGGTATGTTTTACAAGAATTGTTATATATATAAGTTAGTTGTTACTGTGTATTCATGTCTTTTCTTAAACTAGTAAAGAACATTTGCTTCTGGATTTCAGATCAAAACTTTCTCGGAGACGTTCACCCCAGCTTCAAGTAACCCTGTAACCATGTACAGACTGTCATTAGTGGAAAAAATGAACAAAAGGAACCACTAGTGATAATGTATTTAGGCTTTTGTGATGATTTTCTTATCTAGTTTTATCACAGGAAAAGAAACCATTCTTCTCATGGTGCAGACTCTGTGCTAAAGATATTTAGTCCCTGTTTGTCAGCTACTTATATAAGTGTATATCAGAGAGAAAACAAAAATTATTATGTTAGAAATAACTATAGGAGGTCACACTCGCAAACTTTTGTAGGTCTTGACAACTTCACGACTTTATTTTGGGCCTTTTGAACACAAAGAAAACAAAAGTCTTTTTATTGGCACAGTAGATGTTGTGTCATGGATTCAGCACCTAAAAATGAAGCGTGAAAAATGTGATCTGCTCGCTGGAACCAAGAAGGTTGGTGTTGAATGTAAATGACACAATACACCTACTGTTTTATAATAGCTTAGATATGAATAATAACCATGGTAGGATTTGTGATCAGAAGAATTAAAGAGAAAGATCAATTTAACTGAACTAGCTTTTTTTTTTTTTTAAGTTGGACGCCTTCTAATAATAAAAAAAAAAGGCATTGACGGAACTTCATTCATGTCTATATGAGCAAATCAGACCAGTTTTGTAGCTTTGATCAACAAGATTGAGTCTTAATATAAGTCTGCTTCCCAAGCTTTACTGTTAAGTACTACTGTCTATTTCTGTGTGTGTGTTTGTGGCTTAGCCAGATAGCCGGTGTAAAGTTTGTTTTCCCATCCCTATATGTAAACTGACTGACCTAAGTCTTAACCCTGTGTAGAGCATGGGATTTGCAGCTAGGTTACCAAAGATGACCACATAAGGATGTCCTTTTGCCTTATTGATCTAATTTTATTCATACTGTCGTGGATTTCCTTTTAAATGTGATGTTTCGATGCTTGTGTTTGTTTCTTTGAATTACCTCTTGAAATATTCTATTGTATACATACATATATATATATATTTATGTGACTGTGATCTGTTGTTTTCTCTTTAGAATTGTTGTTGAAATATTACATGTTAAGTTAAACTAGTGGAACTATTTATTTCATTACTAAGTAAAGGCTCCATCAACACAAAGTATTTGTGTTGAGTTAGTGAATAGGCATAATCTACCACATGTGAGAATTAAGTATGACTGGAGTGAACTTTATTACAGTTATGTATAGATTATTATGTGTATATAAATATATATATATATTTGTGGTGATATGTTTGATGATAATGGCATAACTCTGCTTCGCTGCAGAAGACCAGAAGTGGACCAACATTATAAGTTAATTCTGTCTGAGTAATTTTATTGAAAGTCTTAGAAAGATGAAAAGAAAAAAAAGTTGTGTTCAATTTTTAAGAATCACAGTCTGGTGATGACTTTTTAATATAAGAAAGAGACCGTATTGTTTTATGTTTTCTATAAGTTGATGTCTTTATATCGTATAATATCATTTGTGTAAGCACTGTCTGGAGGCTGTTCTGTGTTAACTAGTGAGTCTGATATCCTGACTAAATTCCAGAAGTTTTATAGATGTGGATTCTGTTTAAGACTGAATAATAAAGATAATCTGAAATTTTGCCAGTTTAGTAGGAACTTTGAATTTTCTGAACAAGTAAGGGTCAAAGAATTTTTTGAGATAACTCCTGCATTGTGATGATCATTGGGTTAAAAAGCAATGTTACAAAGAAGTATCAAAATTTGTTTAATTTTTTTGTGTGCCTGAAACAGGTAAAAAATTTAAATCCTTCTAGTCATCTCCAGTGAAGCAGTGTGGTAACTTTAGTATACATAGGAGGCAGCTTTTTGTTTTTTTTGTTTTCTGATAATTGAAAAGTGAAACAAAAAGCCATGAAATGGGTGAATACTGACTGTTGTCTTATTAGGCTTAGGGATTTTCTAAGCCTAAAGATATGCAGAGTTATCTAATGTGATGGTTCTTGAATACAGTAGTGTTCCTTTAGATACAGTTAAACGTGGTTATTAAAATTGGGTGTCAAGTAACAAGAATTTGGAGAAGTATAAAGAGCGTTAAGATATATAACTTTAGCAACCACTTCAGGTTTAGTCAATATAGAAATTATAATATTTTTACTTCTTTTTAACAGTATTCCTGAAAAAAACTTTTAAATATAGAGTTATTAATAAGTGTATAAAATAACAGTAGTTAAAATTTAAAAACAAACAAAAATGTATTTTACTTTTCACTAGTGGTGGTTCCAGGCCAATTTCTCACAGTTAATAAATGTAAATAATGTTTCTGATTAACAGCAAATAGGAAATTTAAAAAAGGTTCCTGTAGGAACTATTTTCAGCTGTTATTTGAGTTTTTTTAATGTAGTAGATCTCCCACTACCCTTTTGTTGAATAAAAACGGTTATTTGGAAAACTATAATACAGGATCACTGTGTATCCAAAAAATGACGAGGGAATCTTGGATCTGCTAGATTATTGGATTTTAGTAACAGAACTATTTGTACAGTTTAAACTAACAATATTTGAAAAAATAAAGAGTCATAATTCTAATAAGATACAAAATGTTTGAAAAAAAGTTCAAGAAAATGAAATTTTTTATATTTTCTTTTACAGATCTCAACAGTTACTTATTAATTTAACTCTGGTATTTTTTAATTGATATATTGATTAATGTAAAGCTTGTAGTTTAAACCAAGCATGAGCTGTGGGATCTGCCTCTCCTCAGCAGATGTTGTCATGGAAACCAAAAAAAGGTGCAAACACGATCTCGTTACCAAATCGGTTTATTAATAATCACCTATGGACGAGTTTATTTAATGATTCTCACAGTTGCTGAAATTTTTGTTTATTTAACTGACTAACCGGAGAATTAAGAACAAGCACTTCCCTGAGCAGCTAGGTTTAGTGACTTTCCCACTAAAACTGAGTAACTACAGTTTAGTGTATCACGTAATCATTAGCTAGCATTTATTGAGTTGTATGCAGCAGGTAACATGGCACTAGACATCGGTGTGCAAAGTCTCACCGCTTTTAAAATGTTCTAGTCTGTGATATTTACCACGGTGAAAAATAGATATTGTTTATTTTACAGGGAAATTAAAAAAAAACATCGTGTTCTCTTGACAGAATCCATGACAATCTCTACGGAAAAAAAGTTTCCTGGAAAAGTTAAAAAATATGGGGAGGAAAAGAAAAAAAAAAAAGATGGTAAAAATATTAATTAGAACTTGTTTTCCAAGTTGGATTGTTGTACTTAGTTTTGCTAAAGGGGATTGATCTTTAATACATTTTAGTTAAAAGATATTAGAGAATAAAAAAAAAGATACAGTTAATAAGTAGATGTTTTTCTGTAAGTATAATTTAAAACGTTGAATCAGCTTTCATTGTAAGTTCTTTAAACTGCTGCTTCTATCACGTAAACCTAATCTATAGGAGATTGCGAGGCAGCTCATTTGGTTGGTAATAGTCTAACGTCAGTCATTCCAATGAGTCGAACGATGTTGAGGAGTTAGTCATTAATCTTTAGACACAAAATGATGTAAAAAAAAACAAACAATAACTAAAGAATAAAATAATTTAATAACACAGTTCATTATCGAATTCTGTTTCTCCGACAAAGTCATTAATTTTTGTGATATTCCCGAATGGTTTATATTTGTTATTCATTACCATATTGGGTTACATTTGATAACCTGCAGTGCTTGTATTGTTTGTTGTATTATTTCAACAGATGTGGTTCCTGTTTTTTTTGTTTTTTTTATGCCACTATTTTTTAAATCGTAACTTAATTAATTCTGTATTTAGCTCTAAGTAACTGACTTGCGTATTTGTTCTATCATTCCAGTAATAAACAAACATTTCTAGGTAGGCATGGAATGATATTGATACATTTAAAAATAAAATCATTATGGCTAAATTTAGAATTAACAAAGTATTTTTTAATATATTTTTTTAATTACTTGTTATTTTTAAAGATATTATGTTGTTATTTTTTTTTTCTTCAGAATTATTAGATTTTTAGTAATAGTTTTGAGGTATTGGATAGTATCGGTAAGGCTTTGCCGAAGCATTAAGTACTACAATCGAATC